TCCGAAACTCGCTTCGAGAAGATGGTTCCTGTCTGTCAGTTTCTTCAGCGCTTCTGATTCCTCTTCATGTGTGAGGTGCCTCTTGTGCAGTTTCCAATCAATTGCCGCCTTTGCCAGATTCTCTAGGGCCCTGATGCTATCTGGTTCTTCCGCTGACGTTTTCAATTTTGTTGAAACGTCTCTACTCACCATTCCCTTCCTGACAACATTCAGTCTGGTCCTTGAATCGGCCAATTCTCGCATTTGTTCTGGCTTCAGCATGCATCTCTCGAGCTTTATTTGATCTGAATCTAAAGAATAGATTAGTTTATCCCTAAAAATAAACCATTCTGTATTTGGTTTTCGGCCATATTGGAGTTCAAATGGGAAGTTCTTTAGGATACTGTGACGTGTTATACGAATATCTTCTAATATCGATTTTACTGCTGATTGAGTATCCTCAAAGTTTGGGTCCAACTGCATAGTGCCTAATTTCTTTTTCAGAGTCTGTATACACCTTTCCATCAATCCGCAACCGGGTTCATATGTGGTTCATCCTCTTAGATTTGCAAGACTCTGCTAGCTTAGCGTTTTTTGATCCAAACTAATGATCTGTTCTCAAATTTTTCGGTATGCTATGTTGATTTATGTAGTTATTAAGAACTTTAAGTATTTTTTCGCTGCCCGAGCTTCTAATAATTTAATAATCATGTCAGATGGATATTTCGGAAACCGGTCAATTGCAACTTGAATAAAAAAAATTCTTCTTTTGAATCTAACATGGGTCCAACGAAGTCCACTTGAAGCTCTTTGTTCGGTCCGGAGAGGTCTGGCAGAGGTTCTGATGGGTTGAAAGATTTGAATGTTTTGAGGTCCTTATCATACAGGGAGCATGATCAGCAAGATTGGAATATAACTATGATTTCTCTGTGCATCTTCGGCCACCAGAGATATTGTGCAGCGTCTACCATGGCTTTCTGAGATGGGTGTGTTCTATGCAGTCGAGCCTTAACAGTCTTCCTCAGACAAGTAGGAATCGCCACCCTGTTGTCGACGATGATACAGTCGTTGATCACTGATGCATCGTCACAGAAGTTGGCCAAGTAGCAGCCCAGTCGTAGTAATCCCTCTCTATCCTTTGCTAGTATAGGCTTCCTTAGTTGTCCTAAATAACTGTCTTCTGTTGTCAGTTCCCCGACTAGGTCCGCATCTAGGATCTTTTGGAGTCCTGTTGTGAAAGACTTTGGTTCTGGTGTGAGAATCGGGATTTTCGGTGTCGTCGTGTTTCTGGCCTGGCTTGGGATCATATTGACTCTCACTAACTTCTTCGCCATGTTCACCCTGAAGTTCGAAAGTATTATGGCATAGTTCACCTTGTGTCACTCTATTGCGTTTCGTGTTTGCATTGAGGGTTTCTACTGGTTGTCACGATTCAGCCCTGCTTCTCTCAATGATTTTTTTAAGGAGGGTCAACTTTACTCATATGGTTTCTCTGAAAATTCAATATTTTTAAGTTATCTAGTATTGAAGAACTTAAGCTGATGAGCTTTAGATGTAACGTCGGAGACGATGATTTCTTATATTTCTGGCTGAATATAACTTCGCCTCCTCTGACTAGTTGAATTCTGCTCGGACACCCTCTCGTGGTGATCTGGTTAGATGCGGCAAAGTCTTGAATAAATTACAAATAGTTTATTCCGATTGGTTGAAAATTCCGCCTCATGTAACTTCGCCATCTCGCAATGAGTTGCAAATTTGCATAAACTGTTTTGATTGGTTAAAATATTTGCTGCGTAAAATGCAATATGTACAGGAGGGATGTGGATTTGCATGAAGTAATTTAATCGGCCATTTTAAGAATCGCATGACAAGGCGCCCTCTTGCGGATGTTTGTACATTCGCATATTCGCTTGTGATTGGATGGGACTTATGGATCGATTGTTGCTTCTAAATCGGCGGTTCTATTCCATTGATTTGATTGGGTAAAATTTTTGTATACATCATTGTCTCCCTTTTCCGGCAATCGGGTAACTAATTGTAGTCTTTTGATTAAAATCCTCTCAAAAAAAACTAAATTTCTATGGGTATAGACTGTTCGTTTTTTGATGAGCGTGAATTAACTGAAGTATTTTAAGGTAAAAGGTTTTTTTTTGATATTTTTGGTGGCGTATTGATCACTCTAAATGCCTTATTGATATTTCAAAGGCCTTGATTACGAATTTCTCATCGTATTTTGAAATAGGTGGTGCCGCAAACTTAGGACTTCTCGAGAAGTAATCAGCCATTCATATTTTAGCGCCTGCAATGTTGGATGGCAACATTCTGTCTGCCCATCTGGTTAATCTGGACTGGTAAATCTTATTTTCACAATTTTTTGTCAAAGCTGTAACTGTAGCTTTATGGTCGATTAGAATTTGAAATTGGTTCCCCAGCAAATAGCTTCTGAAAAATTCGCATGAACAAACGACTTCGAGCAGTTCCAGCTCGTTTAAGCTATACTTTTGTTCAGCTGTAAAAGTAACCGTTAAAGTGAAGGTAATTGGTACTCATTTGTCCGGTTCTATCTCTTGCTCCAACGCTGCTTTTTTTTTTATTTGCCCCCGGCCTGCTCAGTGCAGGACCAACCGTGGCGGAGGGGGAGATGTCATCCATTTCGCCGCAGCCGGTCCCACCTTGAGGAGGCGGATGACACTGGGACCCCTCCTCAACGCTGCTCCCAATCCCTTGTGACTTGCATCACATTTAATCCTTCCTTGTTTGGATGAGTCATAATAGTACATTTTGTTTGGGTATGTTGGCATTCAGTTCTGATATATTTTGAAAAGCGTTGTTTGCCTCTTCACTCTAAATGAACTTCTTCTGGTTGTGTGCTTGTAGTGATGATTGCAGTGGCTCAGTGTACTTTTGTAGATTAGCATTAAATCTGGATATATGATTCAATATACCCATACAAGATCTGAGCTGTTTCAGAGATTTTGGTGGTTGTAGAGCTAATACTGTTTCTATCTTTGAGTGTTTCGGTCTTATTCCTGTATCGTCGATCTCGAATTCCAGCCAGATTAGGTTGGTTTTTGAGAATTCGCTTTTACTCATTTTTATAGCAAATCATTCTGTGTCTAATCTTGATAAAACTTCGTCGACTATTTCGTTATGGCTGTTAATTGGTCCTTTTGACACTTTTAAGATATCATCTAAGAAACAGATTACTCCTTGTATTCCTTTAATTGTGTTGTCCATCGCCTTCTGAAATTCCTTCCGCATGCCTGATAATCCATAAAAACCGGTTTTAAAACTTCATGATCCCGTAAATTCCAAATAAACTATGCTAAAGTTACACTGTTTGCTGACGGATTCATTTACTGGTACTAACTGAATGCATATTTCAGGTCTGAAGACGTAAACCAAACTGTGCCTTCTGATTTGGACTTCTGTTATGTTTAGGTGATAAAGCTGGGACAACAGATGATTTTAAGATTACTAACAATTTATTGTCATGCTACTAATTTTTATTTTCATTTTCAATAAATATTTTTCAAACATGTTTTATATAAGACTGCAGAAATTATGAAAACAATCTGAGATTATTTTATCAATCGTTATTGCATATTAATAATTTTGTTTAGCGCCTGAAATGATCATGAAGATTTACTTCAAATTTTTATGTTTGCAAATGAAAATCTAAATTCATTGCTAATAAGATTCTAAATATAAAAGTTTGTGTTGGCTTTTGCCGTACGATCATAAAACTATTTGGTAAGTTTCTACTTTGTCGTATGTCGTCCCTTGTTCGAAGTCTTCTTCCAATTCCGGATAGTTCTGTTATCGTTCGGAATATCGGCTCTGATCTATTGAGTCGTAGAGACATTTCGATTAAATTATTGCCGTATAACATTTTAAAAATGTTTTGTCTAAATTCTAATCTATTTTTTGGTTAATTCTAAGCTATTAAGGTCTTTTGCGAGACTTATGGTCGCACCAGATGAGTTATGACCTATGTGGTTAACTCATAGAGTAATTTCGGATAGGGTACACCGTCTGCTCGTCACGCTATCTTATTTTCGGCCGGATAGATTCGTGCAACTTCTTAGTCTAATGCCGATCCTAATCTTACTCGTATACTTTCTAGTCTCAGGGTGTTTAACTAGTCTCTGCTAGGCTCAATAGATCTAGGGTATACTGGTTTGTTGCGGCTGCTGAAGTTCTCTTGGAGAGACAACTAATATCTAAGTTAAATTCAAATCTCTCTGGTGCTGAAATTACAAGTAATTTCAGCACTTACAAATAAGTGGGTTGTTAGTTAGATGGATCATGATTGGTTAATATTAAATACTTTACAGTGGTAAAATATCTAATTTATCCAATCATAAAATGTAGTTTGGATCAGGTTCCAATAGGAATGCGACAGAACACATTTCTGAGAAATACAAAACCAATCCAGTTGAGCATAAATGAAATGTGTTTTTATTTTTTATAGGGTGGGGGGGGGAGATTCTTTACAAGGTGGGGGGGGGATAGTTAACATATCCAAATATCGTATAGTGTCTTCAACTTTTGTAACAAGTTTTGGCGAATCTAATATTGAATTTCTACTGGCGAACCTAAAAACTTAGCGCAAGTTTGGATTCGCGTGTTTTGAGTAGCAAATCCTGATACCATGAGCAAATTTCAAGATTAAGTCGAGTGATACTAAAATCCCATAGAAAGCGGCATCAATTGTTAGCTCTAAGATCCCGTTCCGAGTAAATTTTTTTTAGGACGATCTGAAATTGCATTTTTCATCTAAATTTCAGAAGTGAAACATGTTATGTAAAAATAACGCTTGGGTGCTTAAGATGGATCCTCTTTAACTATATCCTCCTATAAAGAAACAAATCAACGGTTAAGCATATGAGAAATTTATACCTAGTAACGAATCTCTCCCCCTCCCCTCTTTTGTAAAAATATATATAGTGAAGACAGGCTCTAATAACTTATTAATTTGGAATTTATATAAACGTATATACATATGATCTTTCTTACAGATAGGAGGTGTAGTCGGAGGTGCTATGGCAGATGCAGTCGAATGGAGAATCAATATGGAACATTGCACTCTACCAAATTTCTTTTTCTGCATCGTTCCTGACGTTCCCGATGCCACAACGGAAGCAGTTCACCAGACATACCTCGAGTACTTTTCGTCCATACCCGACCTGCACCAGTTCACTAGTAGTGGTGAGAAGTACGGATTCGTGTACTTCGAATATGGGAAGTATGGTCTTGTTCCTTCTCTGAAAGTGGCCACTTTCATGGACAAGTCAGGTGAGACGAATATAGTTCGGAGTTTTTTGTAACTGAGCAATTGAACTAACGCTTTTTAAAATCTAGAAACAACTTTTTGCTCCAGGTTCTGCGTTGCAATGGCAGTAAAAAGAAGTTCAAAAAATCATTACTTAGAAAGTTCTAAAAATCATTACCAAAACATTATATAATTTTAACTACACCCAAACAAAATGGAAGTTTTTTTGAATATCCCTTCAATAGTTGGCAATTTCAGATCCTGATTGCGTGGAGCCTGTCACGAATGTATTCACCCACTCTGAGACGGGGGCCGAGCTGTTAGCTGAGATGCGCCCCCTCCCCCACATAGACACAGTTGTTCTGCAGAACTACAGGGGACAATACACTTGCTGGACCAGATCGGTAGGGTAACTTCTCGAGCGCACTTTGATATGTTTTAAGATAACTGCAATTACTTTTTGAACGTCTTAAACCTTCTTCAGATCTGCAAAGATAATTGGCTTCCTGCGCGGACAAAGTTGACAGTAGAATTGATTCCAATCGAATTAAATCGATTATTATACAGATATTATACTATGTAAAAATCAGTTTATGGTAGACCATTCACATATGAAAACCAACTTAGAATGGAATTAAACTAATTGCGAAATAAAAAGATTTTTGGAAGGTGGATACATCCATAAAATACATTACGAGGGCAAACTGTGTACTGGATAGGCGCACAATTTTGTGTCTGTATGTTCCTGGATTCCAAAAACTTATCTTCAAACATGTTCCAAAATGTAAGTGGATTCCACTTACAAAACTTCCGTGGATTCCGCGTACATATGAATGTAACGTAAATTTCGTCGGCACAATTGTTGTGTCGCGGATTCCGCAACTGTAAGTGGATTCCGCAAAATGTAACCGGATTCCGACGAACTCTGTTAGTGGATTCCGAATTTTGCTCAATATTGAACTTGCATATGAACAATTAAAAGCTGAGCTGGAATTCTTATCTCTACCAATGCGGAATTTAAAAGTAAAATCAAATCATGTAATTAAAAGATACAACTTTAAACGGTACTACTTATATACATAAATGTAAACGGAATCCGCAAACAATTTGCGGATTCCACTTACACTTTGCGGATTCCGCTTACAGTTTTGGATTCCGCAACAGCTCAGTTTAACTATGCACTTGTCTTTTTGTTTGTTTATGGGCTCCACAAACTGTTTTGGATTCCGCAAATACGGTTCCAGATTCCGGAAATTTGTCTATTTTTGGAGCAATTTTGAGCGGAACAGCGTTTTAAGTATTTGTTTGTGGAATCCATAACAGCAAAGAAGATCAAAGAAAAATAGCAATGATGTATATTCCGCGACAAATCTAATTTTGGCCTGTTGTGGAACCCGCTTACAATGCACAGAATGCACAGTTTGGCTTCGTAATGCAGTCAACTAAATTGCTTTAGATTTGCTTTTCATTCAAAACTTGAAAAGTTTCTCACTCAAGAAAAATCTCGGATCAACCGTACAATCTACCTCCCCTCCCTAGGTGACATACATTAGAAGGTCTTCCCCAAGACTATGAATTCTGAAAGATAAACCAATATAGAACAGGTATCTCATACAAACGCGCGCATAATGTAACTATTTCATAGTTTTTTAATGCACTGTAACATGATGGGCCATAAATTAGTGAAACAAGATTTTTAGTCATGTTTCGATAAACATTTCTGCTATATAGATTTCTGATATATAAATATTTATGCTCTTCAAAAATAGATTATAAAAAATTCGTATTTTCCCCCCTAAACCGCTTTTGTTAGGCAATTGAACATATAATCGAAAACTCAACTTAGAACAATTATTTTTTAGCGCAGAAAAGTTGCACGTTCTTCATACTTTTTGTTTTCAGGCAAATTTCAAAACGAAAACTCAATTGAAAAGGATAAATTATAAGTTAAATTCTTTAATTATTCTTTCCAAAATGATCCCAGAAACAAGCATGAAAGTCAATTTAATTAACGAAAAATCCAAAGAAACAGACACCAAAATACAAAAACGTGGTTTTAAACCAATTTAAGTTCAAATGGTTTTGATTTTTAAGGCTCAATTTTTTTTATAACAAACTGTTTTTATTTCAGTTTAAAATGAGTTTATAGGTATTTGCTGCCCTATCTGTATAAAATTGATTGCAATACGTTTCTTGTCCAGACGGGTTGATTATAAGTGTGATATTCCCTAAATCCTATCTGAAAACTGAGCTAATATTAAGGTTGAATTAATAGTAAAGTTAATAAATAGATATGGAATAATAGAATTGTTAAGCAGTTATAATTTTTCAATAGTTTACAAAGAGTGATTTAGCTTTAGCACCGCAAAGCTGATGAACATAAAAGACACAAATTGCAGTTGTTTATTTCTTAGCGATCAAACAATCAACTGATTATCAGACAATTCATTTCAAATTTATGTCCTCAAATAGTTGGAATAGGTTCTGGTTTTGGCGGTGGGTCTTCATGGACCGGTGCTGGGTCTGATAAAAAGGTATTCGGGTCACAATTTTTCTTGAGTGATACGGCAAGGAAAAATTGACCTCCCCATACCTCCCATGGATATGATGGTTCGGCTGGCGGTTTGCCCCAAAAGGAAGAGACTCCTAGCAGTTCCGTCCTGTCTTCAGAAGAAGAAATTGCTGGCTGCGCCATGTGATATTCCCTAAATCCTATCTGAAAACTGAACTAATATTAGGTTGAATTAATAGTAAAGTTAATAAGTAGATATAGGAATAATAGAATAGATAAGCAACTATAATCTTTCAATAGTTTAGGAAAAGTGACTTAGCTTTAGCACCGCAAAGCTGATGAACATAATAGACACAATTGGCAGCTGTCTCTTTCATAGCGATCAAACGATCAACATTAAAAGATTATAGGACAATTCATTTCAACCATGTGTCCTAAATCAATTGGTGGTCAACACACTATCACCACATTTCCCCTCTAGGAAAATTTCGTACAACGTATGAAGTTCATTTCACTGTCAGCAAAGTAATCAAAGTGTTTCAAAAGCTTAATCAATGTTCTTACCTTGAATTTGGTCGGGTTTATAAACCGCAAGCAAAGGTCTTTTCAAATTTCTTCTGGGCGATGGTGACGACGTGTTCCCTGACGAAGACGGAACATCCCCCGGCGATATTTGAATTGTCTGAAGCTTCTCCTCGCCTGAGTTCTCTTCCACACTCTTAATTGAATGTTTTAGCGGCCAAAGAATTGAGTCTGCCGCGTACTTCTGCCTGCTGACTTGTTCGAACTATTTGATACTTGTGAGTCTTTGTCTTCGTTTCCACTCTTTTCGTTTCAATTCTTCTCTCGTCTGGATAATTCTGAAGTTTTGGTTTCTTCAGACCTCTGTTCCGCTTCTACTGAAGTGGTTCCGGAGCTGGTTGCTTTCTTCGCCTCCCCTTCCTTGTTTAGTGAAGTCTTCGTCTTCTACACTATTGGAACCGACGATATGGCTCGTGTTTTCTTTTTCTCCACATTGGGTATAGACTATATCGGACAGTTTTCCGCTACATTTTGACTTTTTCTCTGCACATTCTTTGCTACAATTGGCACTGATGATATTGGGCACTTGTTTGTTGTCTGGATTTCTGGCTCAATCACTCTTGGTACTGCCTGTACTTCATTTTCCGGGGAGCTACTCGAAGACAAAGTTAAGTCTATATTCCGCCGCTTGGGATGTTTCGTAGTACATTTGGCGAGGCTTTATATCTGGCTGCTAAATCTGATGGAATTTTCTTGGATATCTTCGTCAATGAAATATACAGTTTTCTTGTCTTTGCTGGTAGTTTATCTAATTTTCGCAAAATGTTCGTCATTATTTTCTTAATCTGAATCTTCTGTCGATGATGATACCGGAGATACATCTGGCCTCGCAGACTATGTACTGGTGGTGTGTTCAGTTTGGTCGAACTGCCTCGATATAGCGTATTCCTGGGCGTGCTTGCGGCTGGTGTCTTTGAACCTAAATCTGAACAATGTACTGATTTGAATTTCGGTTTAGGTGTTTTGTGGTTCTTCCTAATTACTTTCCTTTCATCTGTGATATAGGTGTTGTTAGTAATTCTAATCAATTTTCTCATTAAAGATTTTGAACAATGGCCGGCCGATTTCCTATCCAACATCTTCCGATAAATAACCACTTTCTCCGGATAATGCAGTAGATCGATTTCAAGGTTACTTGTTTTTGGCCCCTGAACTGACATCTCTTGTTCTTCATGTTCTTCATGATATCTTCAGTGTCTAAAGCAAATCTTAGTGTCCCTTCATTGAGATCGCTTCCAAAACTTGCTGCGAGAAGATGGTTCCTGTCTGTCAGTTTCTTCAGCGCTTCTGATCCCTCTTCATGTGTGAGGTGCCTCTTGTGCAGTTTCCAATCATTTTCCATTGTGCCAGATTCTCTAGGGCCCTGATGCTATCTGGTTCTTCAGTTGACTTCTTCAGTTTTGGTGAAAAGTCTCTGCTCACCATTCCCTTCCTGACAACCTTCAGTCTGGTCATTGAATCGGCTGATTCCCGCATTTGTTCTGGCTTCAGCATGTATCTCTCGAGCTTTAGTTGATCTGAATTTAAAGAATATATTAGTTTATCCCTAAAAATAGTTCATTCTGTATTTGGTTTCCGTCCATATTGAAGTTCAAACGGGAACTTCTTTAGGATACTGTGACGTGTTATACGAATGTCTTCTAATATCGATTTGACTGCTGATTGAATATCCTCAAAGTTTGGGTCCAACTGCATAGTGCCTAATTTCTTTTTCAGAGTCTGTATACACCTTTCCATCAATCCGCAACCGGGTTCATATGTGGTTCATCCCCTTAGATTTGCAAGACTCTGCTAGCTTAGCGTTTTTTGATCCAAAATAATGATCTGTTCTTAAAATTTTCGGTATGCTATTTTGGTGTATGTAGTTATTAAGAAATTTAAGTATTTTGTCGCTCCCCGAGTTTCTAATAATCATGTCAGATGAATATTTTGGAAACCAGTCAATTGCAACTTGAATAAAATATTAGTTTTTCTTTTGAATCCAACATGGGCCCGGCGAAGTCCATTTAAAGCTCTTTGTTCGGTCCGGAGAGGTCTGGCAGAAGTTCTGATGAGTTGAAAGATTTGAATGTTTTGAGGTCCTTATCATACGCGGAGCATGATAAGCACGATTGGAATATAACTATGATTTCTCTGTGCCACCAGAGATATTGTGCAGCGTCCACCATGGCTTTCTGAGATGGGTGTGTTCGGTGCAGTCGAGCCTTAACAGTCTTCCTCGGACAAGTAGGAATCGCCACCCTGTTGTCGACGATGATACAGTCGTTGATCACTGATGCATCGTCACAGAAGTTGGCCAAGTAGCAGCCCAGTCGCAGTAACCCCTCTCTATCCTTTGCTAGTATAGGCTTCCTTAGTTGTCCTAATTGACTGTCTTCTGTTGTCAGTTCCGCGACTAGGTCCGCATCTAGGATTTTCCGGAGTATTGTTGTGAAAGACTTTGGTTCTAGTGTGAGAATTGGGATTTTCGGTGTCGTCGAATTTCTGGCCTGGCTTGGGATCATATTGACTCTCACTAATTTCTTCACCATGTTCACCCTGAAGTTCGAGAGTATTTTGGCATAGTTCGTCTTGTTTGTGTTGACTTGTGTCACTCTCTTTCGTTTCGTGTTTAAATTGAGGGTTTCTAATGGTTGTCACGATTCAGCCCTGCTTCTCTCATTGATTTATTTAAGGAAGATCAACTTTTCTCATATGGTTTTTCTGAAAATCAAATTTTTTCAGTTATCTAGTATTGAAGAACTTAAGCTGATGAGCTTTAGATGTAAAATCGGAGACGACGATTTCTTATATTTCTGACTGAATAAAACTTCGCCTCCTCTCATTGGTTGAATTTGGCTCGGACGCCCTCTCGTGGTGATCTGGTTAGATGCGGCAAAGTCGTGAATAAATTACAAATAGTTGATTCCAATTGGTTGAAAATTCCGCCGCATGTAATTGCAATTTGTACAGGAGGGATGTGGATTTGCATAAAGAAATTTAATTGGCCAATTTAAGAATCGCATGACAAGGCGCCCTCTTGCGGATGTTTGTACACTCGCATGTTCGCTTGTGATTGGACGGGACTTGTGCCATCTATATCGATTGTTGCTTCTAAATCGGCGGTTCTATCCCAATGATTTGATTGGTTGAAATTTTTGTATACATTTTTGCCTCCCTCTTCCGGCAATTGGTAACTAATTTTAGTTTTTTTTTCTTAGAATCCCCTTAAAAAAATTTCTATGGGTATAGACTGTTCGTCTTTTGATGAGCATAAATTAACTAAACTATTATGATCTAAAAGGTTTTTTTTTGGTGTTTTTGGTGGCGTATTAGTCGCTCTAAATGCCTCATCCAAATTTTCAATGGCCCTGACTACAAATTGCATATCGTATTTTGAAAGAGGTGGTGCCTCGAACTTAGGACTTCTCGAGAAGTAATCAGCCATTCATATTTTAGCGCCTGCAATGTTGGATGACAAAATTCTGTCTGCCCATCTGGTTAATCTGGACTGGTAGGTCTTATTTCCACAATTTTTTGTCAAAGCTGCAACTGTAGCTTTATGGCCGATTAGAATTTGAAATTGGTTCCCCAGCAAACAGCTTCTGAGAATTTCGCATGACCAAACGACTTCAAGCAGTTCCAGCTCGTTTAAGCTATACTTTTGTTCAGCTGTAATAAGAAACGTTAAAGTGAAGGCAACTAATTGGTACCCTTTTGTCCGGTTCTATCTCTTGCTCCAACGCTGCTCCCAATCCCTTGTGACTGGCATCACATTTAATCCTTCATTGTTTGGATGAGTCATAATAGTAAATTTTGTGCATGTTGGCATTCAGTTCTGATATATTTTGAAAAGCGTTGTTTGCCTCTTCACTCCAAATGAAACTCTATTGGTTGTGTGCTTGTAGTGATGATCGCAGTGGCTCAGTGTACGTTTAAAGATTGGCATTAAACTGGATATATGACTCAGTATACCCATACAAGATCTGAAATGTTTCAGAGATTTTGGTATTTGTAGAGCTATTACTGCTTCTATCTTTGAGTGTTTCGGTCTTTTTCCTGTATCGTCGATCTCGAATTCCAGCCAGATTAGGTTGGTTTTTGAGAATTCGCTTTTACTCAATTTTAAAACGAATGATACTGTGTCTAATCTTGATGAAACTTCGTCGACTATTTCGTTATGGCTGGTAATTGGTCCTTTCGACACTTTTAAGATATCATCTAAGAAACAGAATACTCCTTGTATTCCTTTAATTGTGTTGTCCATCGCCTTCTGAAATTCCTTCCGCATGCCTGATAATCCATAAAAACCGGTTTTAAATCTTCATGATCCCGTAAATTCCAAACATACTATGCTGAAGTTACACTGTTTGCTGACGGATTCATCTACTGGTACTGACTGAATGCATGTTTCAGGTCTAAAGACGTAAACCAAACTGTGCCTTCTGATTTGGACGTGATGATTTGAGCCGCAGAAACTAACATTTCTAATAGACTTGACATTTGAAGTTTATTTCTGTAAATTTGGGACTTCATCGGTTTCGTGTTCATCGCTAACTTCATTGTGCCATCCTTTTTGATATGATGACTACTGGATCTACGAATTGTGCATGTGTATAGCTTTACTATGTCGCCTTCCCTTATTAGGTTTTTGATTTCAGCTCCTATTTTTGCTTGAATATGGATTGGCACCCTTCTGCCCTTTTCCTGAATAGGAAATGGAGGTGACTTAAATAGACTGACCACCATTTGGTTCCCTGGTCATCTAATATTTGAATACGTTTTTGTTTACGTCTATAGGCTTGTTGTTATAATCAATGTACGTTTTGCTTTTCGGGTTCTTATCCAGATATAGGATTATTGCGTTAAGATTTTTTGCTAACAATATTTCTGCCGTACTTTTGTTAACGAAAGAAGCTGGAATCCCAGGGTCGATGATGGCGCTGAACAATGAGCCTCTTGATTTCAGCGTTACTCGGAGGCACTTAATTTTGCCTGTGGCGGAGATAATTTTTTCTGAAATTTTGACTACTTCCGTCAGACTAGAAAACTCAGAGATTCTTAGGACCGAATAATTCTCTTCACTGTCTGAGTCAACAAAATGCGCTCTTCTCGTCCGGCTCCAATTGTTCGGTGATGGCAATTTGCGGGCTGTTAAAGCCTTTAGCGAAATGTCCCTTTTTCCCGCAACATCTGCATATTGCTCCTCTGTCTTGACATTTCGCCTTATGTTCGGGTGTGAATCTTTTTCCACGGAAACAGCATGGTTTTGATTGGGTGTTCGGTTGGTCTTGTTGAGATTTTGATTTGAAATTTCCCTTCCCTAGCGCTCTGTTCATTTTGTTTTGAACATTGTTTTTAGCTTGGACGGACATTAGTGGTTCTTGTTTTACCCGAAATTGATTAGAGAAATTGATAAAGTTCGTCGAGTTGCTTGCTGCAGACGGATTCTGCTTTCGGAGTGTGTTTGCTGTTACGTAGCCTTCTCCTGCAGCAACTTCGATTTGAGGGTGTTATCTATCGTGATTCCTAGTCTAATACAGAGCTCTCTTTGTAGGTCAGAGAACCTCATTTTTGCGATAAATATATCGCGGATGACTTCCTTTTCAATATCCTCGGTCCATCAGCAGTTAGAGGTTTGCCCTGCTAGGCGAAGATAAACTGATTCGAGACCTTCTCTTTCTCTATGTGATGCCTGGCAAATCTGCATCCTTTCAATGATATATATTTTTTCACTACTGAAAAACTGTTCACAAGCGTCGTAGAAAAGTTTGAATTTTGTTAATATGAGATTTATGTGTGCGTGATGTTGCAAAACCTCTTCTTTCCCTCATTTCCTACGGCAAAAAAGAATCTTGATTTTATTCGTGCGTCTGCTTCGTGGTAGTAGACATTTGGACTTATTTTGCGTCCCTTCTTCCGTCTTTCTTCGTTCGCCTGGTTTGTTTTTCTGACGGTTGCTTCGTTCCTTGCGATCCTATTGTCCACTTCCGTTGTCGATTTTTAAGTTGGAATAGGTTCTGGTTTTGCCAGTGGGTCTTCATGAACCGGTGCTGGGTCTGATAAAAAGATAGTCGGGTCACAATTTTTCTTGAGTGATACGGCAAGGAAAAATTGACCTACCCATACCTCCCATGGATATGATGGTTCGGCTGGCGGTTTGCCCCAAAAGGAAGAGACTCCTAGCAGTTCCGTCCCGTCTTCAGAAGAAGAAATTGCTGGCTGCGCCATGTGATATTCCCTAAATCCTATCTGAAAACTGAACTAATAATAAGGTTGAATTAATAGTAAAGTTAATAAGTAGATATAGGAATAATAGAATTGTTAAGCAACTATAATCTTTCACTAGTATAGGAAAAGTGACTTAGCTTTAGCACCGCAAAGCTGATGAAAATAATAGACACAATTTGCAGTTGTTTTTTTCTTAGCGATCAAACAATCAACTGATTATCAGACAATTCATTTCAAACTTATGTCCTCAAACACTTGGTGGTCAACACTCTACCACCAGAATAAATGAGACCAAAAAGGTGACAGTTGCTAGCTATTTGTCAAATTGAGATAACCTAGCTTAGTAGTAAGGCTTGATTGGGAAGGCAGTGTTTGAGCACGATCTCTCACTTGACTTATAGCTTCAGGTCTACCATAGCTTGATCAAAATCGGTCGCAATAGTGGTACCATGCAAAAATTCTAGACGTAAAAATGAGCCTCTCTCAATAAAATATCTCAGTCTGCAATCGTAGTGGAGAAAAGAAAGACACTTTGCTTAGGCAGGCTTAAACATCAGTTATTATTATGTTTAACTTTTTTTAAGCGAAATATTGGAAATAGAAAAACTATAAAAATTGGAACAATTTTGGTCAGAACTAAGAATTATTGTTTTTTTTTCGCCAAAAACTGAGGGATAAGTCAATTGACCTTAGAATTCAAACTCTTTAATTTTGTAAGACAAAAGTTTTGAGATGAGGCAACTATTGGAACCTTGAACAATTCATTGAATTTGTAGACTTCTGATGCCAATTCATGGACCGAAGATGGCCATGAATGTCAGTACTGGAGCACTACCAAGCACACCCTGTGTGCCATACAATCTCCCAGTGCCTTTCAAACCACAGAACTGACGAACTACTTCGAAGAACTGAAGATGTCACGTGTTCACGTCTCCTCACTTGATTCGCCATATGGCTTCTATCATCACGGGGATGGAGTTTATACTATGTACCCTCGTTTTAAAATGACAGCTGTTACGACAGAATCGGGTAAGTGGTGATGCCTGGAATTTTTTTCGAAAATAGTTTTTAAAAATTATTTAAGGAAACAAAAGTAGTAGGTTAGTGTGTAATTTTCCTACCAAGATATGCCATGCATAGATACTTTTTGAACTTAAACTTTTGAGTTTAAATCATTTGTTCGAACCAAATTTTACACGAATATTGAGAGTGAGTAATAGAGAGGACATGAATTTTGCTCCGGCTCCGATATCAGACTGAAAATTTTTAGAGTTTCCCTTCTCAAAATTTGCTCGACCAAATAAGAGGCTGACAACAATTTTTATGCAACAATTTTTTCGTCAAAACCTTCCATCAAAAATTTGGCTATGATTACCTCACTTCATAGTTCGCTGCTTTAATCAATCCTTCTTTTACCTTACCAAAAGAGAAAACTTTTATTTTTTTCAAATTGCTTTGCTTTGATGGGAACATCATGTGCCAGATCGGAACATTGCTTGTGGTCGGAACATTATGTGCTTCTTGCACAGCAACCTGTTATTCTTGTTTTTGAGCCTTTAGTCAGTTCTTTTTTGTTTCAGCGAGTGCTTGTCAGAATGACTTGCTGAACAACATTGAAGATGGAAACATGGGAATAGAATTGATCAATGCGATGGCAAAGTTCGATGAATCCGCTATGATCAGTCTTTATGATTTCGAAGCACGTCAACACTGCTATAGTTACGCGGTGAGCCACTAACACTCAAACTGCAATCAAGATTAGAGGGTTTTTACAGGCAATCTCAATATCTAACCTTATGGCAGCAATCGTTCAATTTTTGAACCAAAAGATGTAAGACTTCGATGTGTATGTTCCATGCCAATCAAAAGATCATTGGTTCGAGCGTTGGCATTTTCACCGTTTTCGTTACCTGAACAGAGCAGAAAAAGCAGAAATGCTCATGTTTTAGTACTATTTCCTTAGAGTGAATATTAAAGAATAATTCAAATAATTTTTCAACCATGCTCGGCTTAAGGAAGGGGCTGAATGTTTGCTTCAGGAACTAGACATCATGACACTCAAAGTGTGCACCTTTGTACAATTTTGTAGCATCCATTTTGACAGTTATGCAGTTTAAGAATTTCGAAAACCTTGTTGAAACTTCACAGGGATTTATACTTTTTTGTGTTACAGAATTCGTTCACCTCATGGAGTCTTCGAGATAACTGTTTGCCTAATGCGGGTCAATCAGTTCAATTCTTATGCCCCCTGAGCCCAATTCCCGACTCAGTTTTCCAATCCGACTTCGATGAAGCGAGAGAGATTTACGATGCTCACTTTGCTCCTAGTTTCAAAACTTACTTCGTCGGCCAATCAGATTTCAAATATGGATTTGTAGTCGTGGATCATGTTGAAAATGTGTTCATGCTATTGCCGAGTCGTATAACGGTGCACGTTGAGGAAACTAAGTTGCAGCAAAGTAAGATAGAATGAATTACCTAGAAGCATATTTTCTTACTGATTCGACTTAACTTGTAAGGCATTCTAAATGTTGTGCTCAACAAATTATGGGATTTATTTGAACTTATAATTGATAAAAAAAACTTCCCGAGTCAAGCAATACACAATATTCCGTTTGAGAGAAAGCAAAGTTATGTAAGCTTTTCAGCATTCAGTAAACAATAAAAAAATAGGAAAAAAAATAAAACGAGACAACTATATTATTAAAATAGGACTCGCAACTCTCAAAATTATAACCAAAGGAAAGGAGGTTATAGGGTTTTGGCAGTGGGGTTATTTTTTGGGGGTATCAAAGGGACTCATGTCAACCATAGCACATTTCGCCACTCGTCCCCAGATTTTGAGGGCGAAATATAAGAGGCGAAATCTGCGAGAGAGCAAAACGAGTCACGAATTAAAAAACGGACGCTTTTTGCTAAATTTCTTGAAATAATTTCTAACGTTTTTTTTCGAGCACGGTGATGAAATATATAAACAACTTTTTCCGATCGCTTTAATTAAATACCTAAAAAACAGCATCAAGTAGCCAATTGAGAGTTACTGTTTGTGGTATTTCGTTCTCTTTCCCTCTGATGTTTAGTAAGTTGCGACAGTCCCTTCAACGTAGTAGACGGGGATGAAACTGCAATTGAGATGCTTCAGTACTTCATCAAAAATATAACCGACAGAGTAGACAACTTCGCCATGAAGGACTTCGCTAATGAGTGGAGGTGTTTCAAATTCAACCAGGTACAATTTGAGTTCACAAGGATAAGATGTTATTTTTTTATCGGAGGATCCCCTACATTATTATACAATACTTGGTTCTTTTTTCGCTGATTAAAAATGCACAATATACGTTGAATATCAAATTATTAATGCGTACTGATAAAAAGCGTTGCAGTCATTTTAAAGTTATAATCAGGATTCAGGAGAGTATTTTCAAAAATGGTTCGAACATTTCGACAACATTTTGTTAGCTCTATCAAACTCACTGCAAAGACCCTATTTTGCGAGTAAATTCTTCTCAAGTTTAGATTATATTGGCGTCAATCGCGTCCTTTGTTAGTTTTTAAAATTAGTCGATCAAAAATGAATGACGTAAACTAGTACCGAAAGGGGACTATTTGGGCGATCAGGGCGTAAAGTTCCTGAAAAGAGAAGGAGCGTCCAAAAACATCAACCGAACGGATTACTGATTTTCAAAAAGTTATATATTAGATTATATATTAGGTTATATTATTAGTTATATATAGTTTTAGTCGAGTAAAGGTATTTTTTGAAAATTTTTAGCGACATTATTGGAATCAAAAAATCAACAATTATCTGCAAATTTTTAACGATTTTTTTCATTTTTCTAGTCATTTTCTACAAAAACTGTTTTCAGTTGCCCTGTTTGACTATGACTGTCAAATATGCTGAATTTCTTTTTTTTTGTTCAGATCTTTTTATCAAACCACACAGAAAAAACAACTAATTTGACAAAAGTGTGTTTTTTAAGACTATGGGGGAATATTCTGAGCTATTTGCACAGTAACCGGCTAATCTTGTAGTTCCGACCACTCGAAAAATGGGAAGGAACTTTGTAGTCGGGTGTGTTTGAGTTTTTTTCTTTTTTTTTGTTTTCTTCGCAAAATCAGCTACCTCAAAAAATCATCGCACTGGGTCGAGTGATATATCATAATAAAGCCTTTTCAGTGGCTTCGAACAACATAAAAAAATTCCAAAAAATTTCTCTAGTTTTGAGAAAAACCGGTATGAAATTTTTCATTTTAGTTCGAATTTCGAGCTAATAAGGGGAGCGTCCAGGCTTAGAATCGCTTAATTATGCGTAATTTAAGCCGTACAAAACTTAATTTTACCAAATAAAATTAATTTTTGAAGTTTTTAGCGCCATTTTGGGAATCAAAAACTTGAAAATTTCAAAAAATTTCAGAAAACAATTTTTAAAAGTTTTTGAGCTTTTCCTAATTTTTTCCTACAATTTTTTTTTCGTTTTTCTTGTCATTTTTCTGGAAAAACTTTTTCCCAATTGGCCTATTTTACTGTGACTGTCGAATATGTCTAAGTTCTGTTTTTATTTAGTCAGATAATTTTATCACACCACAGAAAAGAAAGACACTATTTTGATATTTTTTTTGTGTTTTGTAAGACTATAGTCGGAACATTATATGCTATTTCCACAGTAACCGGCTGTCCTTGTTATTTTAGCAACCGTTCGAATGGTCTGCAATTGAATGCAACTTCAACGAAGGCACAATTCTCTACCACATTTTCTGTCCTTATTCAGTCCAACCTGAAGTTAAGCAGTCTGCGTTGACTTCATATTTCAACGCCATGCCCTTTAATCCCGATACAGACCTGTATGAACTCTTGTATCTGGACGGTTCGGCCGAATTGGGGATGATGAAAGTTCCCAACTTTCAGTTTATGATGTTTCCAATAATGGAATTTGTGCAAATCTCTGGAGATTCCAACCAACTCAACCAAGGTGAATTATGATGAGTCAATATTAATTATAACGCATTAGATATGACTAGAACTTGTTGCCCTTCATTGCCAAAGGGACAAAAAATTGTTTCAAAGTTCAACATTTACAAAATTCAAGCTACCCTGAATTGCCTTGGAAGTATACGAAGTTATGTCAAATCTTTGAGGGCCAGCTAATGGCCTCTTACTTAGATAAAATAAGCAGATTCAATTTCTCGAAAAAAAACTATAATTTTTTTTTTGAAATTAATGAATTGGTTCAACACGATTATATAACTTTTCTAGCTAGTAATAATAGAGAGTAAAATAACCAGCCCGCCGAAGTACAAACCAACCGAAAATGAGCGGAGTATATAGCCAGCCGAAAAGTTACATCATATAAATACATTTGCATAACTTTCGTAACTTAAATAATTTTCACATAAATATTATATTGCACTGTCATATTTTCGGCTGGTTGATACTTCGCCTGGCTTATACTTCGGCTGGCTTATGCTTCGGCTGGTTTATACGCCACCTAATAATTGTAGTTTTTAACTCATAAAAAAGTGTTTGGGTATGGGTTGTTTCAGTTTCCTGCAACGCGCCAACGGGAGTGATCGAAACAGCTGCCGAAGGACTTTCTTTGGTTCATCATCTCAACTTGGATCCCGATTTGACCCCCAATATCACATTCCTCGATATTAGCCAATCATTTGTCTGTTTCAAATATGTCAGCGCAGCCAACCAATGGAATCAAGACACTCAGAACTGCGACGAGTTCAACTCATTTTATCAATTATGTTCAGCTTTTGTTTCTGATGACGTAATCGAAGCTTCCCGACTTTCAATAGAAGAAGTCCGGCGCGATAGAAATGTCTCGATTTTGGGGTATGGAGATGTAGTTGTTGGCGGGATTACCGTTTTGACTTATAAGGGAGGCAGATTGTTCAAGGTTGAACCAGATGGAACGGAATCTTTTCTGACTTTTGCGAAGTATACAACAAGCTCAGTGCCTGGTAACTTTCTTGATTCCCGCTTCAAATCCCTCAATTTTTTTTTAAATTCAAAATGATTGTTTATTTCAGCATATTGTACTATCTCGGCGTTGAATGTTGCTCAAAACCAGGCCGCAAATTTTCTAGATGCTTTGATGCTGATTCCGAAATATTCGCATATTGCCTTCATTGGTAGTGACGGCAACTTGGTGTCAGTGTCCAAGGTTAGCTCAAAGTTTATATTTCAACGCTAGAACTCAATTAATGAATGCTAAACTAAATCGAACCTACCATTTTTTCTTGACATTGATTTTTTTATATTCTGGATTAAGAAAAGATATCTGTATGTTATACAACATTCGTTTTCCCTTTTTCGGGGCACCTAAAGTTGGGTTCTGGAAAAAAATTGTGAGGGCCTTGTTGATAAAATTACAAGAACAGATGATGAAATAAGTGTCAATAACATTTATATCAAATATACCTGAACTCACGATAACTTCAAAAGATTAGATAAAAAAACTTAGCTCGTAGTTTTCCACGAGATTCTAAATCAACAGAATATATTTGTTTTACGGCTACCAAAATATATGTTATAGTTTATGTAATTTAGTTGGGTTTTATGAATCTGAAGAAAAGCTGGAAAAATGTCATACTTTTTTCAGCCTGGAGTGGCAAACACTGACTCCATGTTCCACTTCTTCTGCGACTTCCAGTATTTCAGTGGTTCGTTGACTCCGTTTGAGTTCGTGCCCGGTGAAGAGTTCTATGGTTATGCCTCACTACGGAATGACGGCCTTCTCGCTATTCTACCGACAATGACACTAGCGCGAATCAGTAGAGAGACTTCCGAGTTTTCTGCAGATGCAGGTAAATTAATGACGATTCGTTCAAACGTCTTTTTAAGCTACTACGCCAAAGAAATTTTATATTGATCTAAAATTCCATCCTAGCAGTTTCGGGAACATTTTAAATGAAACATGTGTACTAGTTTGCAGTGTAAGCGACACAGATTGCTACGATCACAGTATTTCATGCAGAAGTTTTTGGAAAAATTGAATAATCTCTACTTTTTTTTTGGGTCCTGAAAGAAGATTAAAATAATTTAAAATCTTGGTTCCCCCGAAATCGAAAAAAAAGCAGCTGGAATAGTGCAAAATGAATAGAAAGCTCAGATTGGGGCGATCATAAATGGATAGTCATTAATTCATAGATCATAGATCATCAATTGTTTTGTTAGCACGATGTGATCTAGTCCAAAAGACAGTCTACTCCCTTGACCAAGGAGCTCTTTTTCTGGAGAGTCTGAGCCTAAACGAAAAAGTGATCAGGTTTGGACTCACTCATGCAGACGGAAGCCCAATCTGCTATTCCAGGGTAAAAATGAAAACTATCACCATTTTGTAGACGAGGATAACAAAGACCACCAAACTTTTCTTCAATTTATGAGAGCCGCTGATACATTCTTGATTGAAATCTCCGTGCATTTTTTCAGGGAAGGTGGGAACTGTTTTTTTTTCGCCCTCAAGTACCGAAAATGGACCCTATTGAAGCTCAAATAAACCTAAAAGACTATAATCTTAGATCAAATTGTCTAATTTGTTAATTTGGTAGTCTCTTAATAGATAACTGCTTAACTAGTATAACTTCAAAGACATTGGTTGCTGCGCGATTTTGTGTTTCAGTGAAACATAATGCGTATTATTGGGGCAGGTTAGCGTAAGGCAATTTGTTTATGTAATACAATTTGATGTTTATGTCACAGGAAAATATTTTCTGGGGCAAAATGTCCTGTCATCCAAACACTAACCTTTTCTGCATCAAAATTCCCAGTTTTTCAATTTTTTCCAGATTTCTGGATCTTGGAAACACCATGTATACGGCTGTGAGAACCCATATAACCACTACTTCTGCAAAGATTCAGAAGCAAATCTAACCGGTCATGAGGTGACCTCACTCTACGACAATTACGTCACGCTTTTCAGCCGCCACGCGCCTGGACCATATATGGCTACTGATGGTCAATACGGATTCCTGTATAATGATATAGGAATCTACTCAATGCTGCCAACCGAGACGATTCTGAAATTTTCGACCGAGAAGTCAAGTTTATCGAACGGTGAGTTTTTTCATTTGATAGTTTGTAATAATAACTGAGAATAAACATAAAAACTACAAATAATGTTCTTCAAAAATTTAGGTTCTTTAAATCAGTATCGTTTTTTGAACGTCGTGTTTTGAAAATTTTATAGTGTCGTTCGAATGACGACTAAAAGGGCTTTAACATGAAATATAGCTCAACCCAGTCCGATGATTGTTTGAGGTACCTGATTTTGCGTGAAAACCAAAAAGAAAAGTATAGAAAAAAAACATTGATAGCCGGTTGCTGTGCAAGTAGCTCAGATTATTGCGACCATAATAATAAGAACTACAAGTTAAAGTTATTCAGAATTTTCAATTCTGTAAATCATGGTCATTTTTGTACGTATTTTTAAAACATCAAAAATCAAATCTAGTGCACACGGGTAAAAGTTTAATAAATTGAGAATAATCGATAAAAGTCATTACGAGACCAAACTACTGTGCATTTTGTGAGTTGTAATTGAACTCCGCAACAGTTCACAAACAGAATTGTCGTGGAATCCGCTATATTTATGTTTTTCTTTGATCTTTTTTGCTGTTTTAGATCCCAGGGAAAATAGCTAAAACACTGTATTGCTCAAAATTGCTCCAAAAAAGGCAACTTTGCGGAGTCCGCAACAAATTTTGTAGAATCCGCGAGAAAATTTGCGGATTCTCAAACAGTTTGTGAATCTACAAGCAATTATTACTGCATGTGTTTAGTAAATTTAAGCTGTCGCGGAATCCGCAACTGAAGGTGGAATCCGCAAATTAAAGGCAGAATCCGCATAAGTTTGCGGAATCCACATACATTTGCGGAATCCACATACATTTGCGGAATCTGGAACAACCAACTAACTATACTAGTTTGTTCGGAATTGGCAAAAAAACTAGTGTGCCGACCAATTTTAGATTACCAATTTTGTGCGCGGAATCTACGGAAATTTTTCACGTGGAATCCTCTAACCTTTCGAACATACTTGAAGACTTGTCTCTCGAATCCAGGAACATACAGACACAAAAATTGTCAGAAATTGTCCTCTTAATGGTTGTCTTCAATCAAAGAATAACAAAATATGGAAAAAAAAACTCACACGAAAAAAGTTTTTTTTTTGCAAGTGGAGTGCCACCAAAAGCATTCAAAACTAGTTTCCGATTAGCAATTTTAAATTTTTAAGCCTAAATGACCAATTTAACAAGTTATCATTACGTTATTCGGTCGAAATTAGGCGAAAAATCGAAAATTTCAAACCGGTTTTTCTCCACACTGAGAACTTTTTGGAAATTTTTAATGTCGTTCAAATCACAACAGAAATGGTTTTCATTGGTCTGATAAAACAAAACTAGAACCTAACTGAATCCAAAGTTCCTCTTTATTTTTCAAATTGTCGGAACAATAAACAAAAACTATGTATGAACGTCTTAATCAGAGGTGCAAAAGTGGTTCGCGTTAAGGCCTGAAAAATTTCATGGTCCTTTCACTTTGCAGATAAGAATCTTTAAACTGACCGCGTGATATACTCATCTTGTTTGAGTGAGTTTTCTCGTATAATTTGAAATGCCGATTTCAGCAAAAAAATGTGATTTTCATGTATAACACCCCAGGGTGGTCCGCTGTTTACGTCCAGCTCCAGACTTTCATGAACTTTTTTTGCATGTTCAGACTTTCGCGTTTGAAAATTAGTTTCTGAGCTATGTTTTCTGACATCCACATGATCTCAACCAAAGAAACGCTGCTGATCCAATTCAGTGGCGGATCTAGGATATTCTCGAGGGGGTGGATTTAAAAAAAATTTAAACTTTGTACTTCTTAGTCAATCAAATAGATTTTCTAAGCTCTCTCAAATCACATTGGCCCTATTTAGCCAAATTTTCTGCGCCGTTGACAATTTCAACAAATTGTTAAAAAAAGAACGTTTTTAAGTACTTTTTGGAAGCTTTTGACCAAAACATTGAGTTCTTTTTGGCGCGTGCTCCCTCCGTAAAATTATAATATGTTGGCGCCAAAGACTTCTTTAGAAGAATATCAGATTTCTGGGGTCGGTCAGGAAGAAAGTGCGCCTAAAATAGTACCAAAGGGGGCCCTTCTGGGTGGTCAAGGGGTCGAATTCTTTGGGAAGCGTCCAACCTCAAATCCCCTTTTTGGCCGAACGAGTTTTCTTTAAGTTGTTTTTGAAGTCCACTTACAATAGCTTTTAGGAAGAGAGTGACAAAAAAGCTACTTTTGTTTTTTTAAATTCTCAAAAAACACTCAGCATCCAAAAATTTTCTGCCGCTTTTGAACTCGCAAAACATGATGAGCAGTAGTTTCTGACGTATTTTTTGTCAATAAGAAGGTGTATTTTTACGTTTTTTCAGCTCTATTTTTCTTTTTAGTTCCCTGTGACTCGCCTTCGAACTTGTTTTCAACCGATGACATTGGCAATGAGCTGGTTGAACTGCTTGACCCCTTGCCATACGTAGAGGTCCTTTCGCTGAAGAATGCAGATGGCGAGTGGAGATGTTGGCAAAATCAACCGGTTGTCCAAGATGGATTCAATGGCTCACCCATTGTTAGAAACCTCTTGACTTGCTCCTTTACCCTAAACTTGTTTCCCTTTTATGCAGGCGCGGATCTAGAAATTTCTCGAGGGTGGGTGGGATTTTCAAAGAAATTTTGAAAATTTTGTCCACTTATTTTAGGTGACCAAATTGATTTTCTGAGCTCTCCCACTATGAAGACTCAAATATGACCAAATTTTCTGCGCCGCAGTCAACTTTTTGAAAAGGTCAAAGAGGCGTTTTTAGGCACTTTTTGGAAAATTCCGACCAAAAAATCGCGTTTTTTCGGCGCGCGCTGCCTAACCCCCCCCCCTTCCCACCCGCCTAAAATTAGTATAGATTGGCGCCCAAGGCGCCTTGAGAAAAATTTTAGGATCAGTCAGCCAAAAATTGATATCTGAAAACAGTACAAAGGGAGGAGGGACCCTTTGGTTCGGCAAGGGGTCGAATCCCTGAGGGGAAGGGCATCCGCCCCCGCCCGTAAATCCGCTACTGCTTATATGAACTTAAGTCACCCAGGAAATTGCTTGTTCTCATAAAATCAAATTTTTTGCACTGCTAATTTTTGCACTGTTTAACTAAACCCATTTTCGGCAGGTTCCTAAAATTTTGACGAATACATCAAGTGAGCTAAATTGCAGATGAGCCAAAGCTCATTTTCAAAGCAAGTCCTTCCAAAACTGCCTAACAAAAAATTTTAACATAATAAAAATTAGCAGTTCTAATAGAATAAAAACTAACAGCTCCAATGGACTTCGGAGATTGATATTAAAACATAACCATCAAAAGTTTGTTACCAACACAAAACCTGAAAAAAAACATAGTTCTTGTGTTTTTTGATTTTTTTTGACTATTTCAGATCGTCTACGAGTGGATTCAAAGCGACCAAGCTTGTCAGTCAGATTATAGTTCATTCCTTTGTCCCTTTAACCCGACGAACCCGGCTGACCTCGACGCAATCAACAATGAATTGCTATTAATCAGACGCGCTCTGCACGAAGCAAAAGTGAGAATTTTGCCCAGTGATGCAGGGGCTGGTTTCTACCATTACGGAGATGATGTATACGCTGTTTATCCGTTCTTGACAACGGCAAGGCTGTTGATTAAAGTCACTGTAGTCACTGGTAGGTTATAATGATAATAGTTTCGCTATTTCGTTCAGTAGTATTGTGCCGTGTCCCGGATCCTAAGGGGTCCATACTAAATACTAAGTGTGTCTGTGCGTGTCTGAGAGTGTGTGTGTGTGTGTGTGTGGATGTGGGGGTTATCACGTAGAGCAAAATGATTCCTTCTAAATTCTCCTACAGCGGGCCTTTTTCCCGCAGATTAATTCCATTTTGTAATCAAATTCATTTTTCTTAATTCCTCCTGAACTGCTATTTTTCGTCTTAGTTTTATGTGGATAGCATTTCCTGGCTTTTTTTCTTTTCGTCGAACGTTTTTCATGGCAAGTGAAATCTGTAATAATGTAACTAAAACTAAACCAATGACTTAGGCTAAAATTGGTTTGTGTCAACTAGCTTATTCGTCTGAAGGTAACAAGTTTTAAACGAAATTTTAAAAGGAAGATTAATAAAAAACAATCTCAAACTAATTGTTTCAAAATTGAGTGTTTGTGGTTCATGTTTTCTTCGCTCGCTTTTGCAGGTGGTCTTTCTTCCGATGCTTCCAATAAACAAAATGGAACTTCTCGCAGCTCTGTTTCTGAGCAAGCTAGCTACAAAAATCCGCAATTCGGCAGTTGAATTTCGAGTGAAATGTTATCAGTGTCATTGTGTGAGTTGATCCAATTGTACTTGTTTAAGTCTTTCAAAATACAAATTCTTCAGCAGCCTTATGGCCAAAAAAATTGTAGAAATTACTTTACTGTCATGTTAGTACACCCGTTTTACTTTACTCTCATTGTAGTGTAACCTTTCGAAACAATTTTGTAGATTGTAGATGTATAATCCGAGTAGATTGTAGATTGTAGATTGAATTCTCTCTATGCAGTCCGTTTTACCTCTTTGGCTCTGAACTTCGTGTGCCTTCTAAAATTTTCCTTCATTTCTTGAAAGCAAGGTAGAGTTACTTTACAGTTTTATCATTACCAATAATGCCTAAAACTTCGATCAACAGCAAACAAATTTCTATACTTTTTTTCCAAAGAGTGGTAGACTCTTAAATATGAGTTATAAAAAAAGTTACCTCGACATTTTTCGTGATAATCCAACGCTTGTACAAGTTGTCAGTTTTTGTAGCATAAATAAACTTGTCCGTGCCACAGTACAGAAGTTCGAAGTCGAGAATCAGTTCCAATGTTTGATAATGAGCTCTTAAAATGTTCAGGGTTGTTCTTCCAAAAAATTACTTCTCAGTTCTTTCGATCTACAGCTTCTTCCGTCCTAAATTAATTTCCATAGTCTTACGAAACGCTGAAATATTAATCAGCTTGTAAAAGTTCTTTTTTTCCCCGCGGTTTTTCGTAGGTGGTTGTTCAGGTCGACAACGGGTACCAAATCACTTACCCAAAACATTTTCAAGGGTGCAAGAACTTCAGAAGCTTTGCTACCTTTGGCAGTGTGGTGATTCCCAATTTTTCTAACATGACGACACTTCCGTGCTCGTTGCAGCAAAATCCACAGCTTAACGAGATGGGCAAGAAGGTGATTGGCGAGGAAATCTTCGGGTATGGTCAGATTAACTTAAATAACATGACCCCTTTCAGAGGTTTCCCTGGCTTAGCAGTATGTCCTCCAACCTTTTTTCCACAATTAAAAAATTGTTCAATGGCAATGGGCAGTGTTTCAAAATGCCCCGTACAATTCAGTGGCGTCAATATTGACGATGTAGTCTGATGGTTCTAAGAGTGAAAAATTGTCCAGAAACTTATTCATGGCAAGGTGCAGTGGCAATGGGCAGTGTTTCAATATGCCCCCGTACAATTCAGTGGCGTCAATATTGACGATGCAGCTTAATGGTTCTAAGAGTGAAAAAATGTCGAGAAACTTATTATCCCCTTTATAAAAGCGGCGAGCGTAATCTGACGACATACCTTTTTAAATCACTAGCTGGTTAAAGACAGATGTTTGACATCAGTTAGTAGCTTTGTTTCGGAATTACAAGTTTGTAAGGAACGTCTCCAGAAAGATTACTTGCGATAGAGTACCAGGCGCAATCCAGCCCGTTAAATTGAAAAAAACTTAGAAAATGCTTTGAAACGAAACCAAGCAATAGCCCTTCTGTAGTCAAGTACAAGAGATGCTAATCACCGAGTAAATCACAGTTCAAGTGAACTATCAAGTGAACCACAGTTCACTTCTGATCATGAAATTGAAGTATGAGACATTTAGCGCGAATCTTTTTTCTTTCGTTATTTTTGGTGTCCTCTTCTTACACAGTGGGAATTTTGATCATGCCCACTTTCACGTGAACTTTTTCCTAATTCATGCAGTCGTTCGATATCTAAATCCCTGGGTTAGTTCTTTCATCAAAATCAGGACCTTTTTGAGCTCAAACATTAACAGGTTGTTTTCTCAAATTCGATTACTGCTAAAGCGTAGCCGCACGGTTGATGAATTTTAATTAATGGCGGGCTGGGTTTTCGCCGATCAAATTGTGGTCCGTATGCTGGTAATAGCAGTGATTTCAAATCAAATCGAATTACTCCAGATACGTGCCAACGAGCTGTTAGGGTCTTGAACTTGTGGGTATCCGTTACCAGCTGGGGTATTGTGATCGCGAAAGCTTTGTCCCAATACCACAGTTCTTGGTGTCCTCTCAGACAGTCTAAGGGAGCGCACGTGTAGAAAGATTTGAGGCTATATATCAGATTGGAATGATGCGCTTTGTGCCTCACGAGTTCCAACTCTTTCGTTTTTTATCAATACGTAGCGATACTTTGACCCATCTGTCAGCAGCAATAAGTCCACTTTCAAGTTAGTCTTGATCATGGTGGAGTCTCTTAAGAGCAACAATTCAGCATCGTTGAAATTAACACAAAATTCATTTTTTGCTTGAATCGAAACGTTAAATAGAAAAGTTTGGCTTACCGGAAGACTTTGACGTGACGGTTGTTAGGCCTTCCGAATATGTCTAAATCCATATATCTATTGGCGTTTTGCATTACCCATTGAATTTCACAGTTTATTTTTTTTCGAGATTGTGGATTAAAAGTTTATTTTTCACTAACACCGAAACTAAATGTGGAGTAGAGGGCAGGCTCATTCAACCTATGTTATACTGGAACGAAGCAAAATAAAAAGCAACCGTCGTCTCTTTTTGTGTTGATAATTACGAGGAGAGTAGACGCAGGCTAAGTGCATCAAGTGGGTCGAAGTAGGATTGTACTTTTATTGGTGGAAAAATTGCAAAGCTGATTTGTAGTTTTTTCAATTTGAACAATTATTCATCCACTGCCATGAGAAAAAAAATTGACTTGGTTGACAATCTGTTCAATCAGCTTCCTGTACTGACCAGTGATTTTTGCCTCGTTGAACACTGTCAAGGTCTTGGTGTTTTGTAACAGCATGGTTTTTTCGTAACTTCTAGTTTCCTTGTTCTACACAGTGGGAAGTTTGATCAAACGCATTTCCACATGAAATGTTTCCTGATTTTTGCAATTTTTTAAGCCCTCTTTTACCTTTTCGAGTATAAGAGCTTCAATTTTCTCCTTTTTTACATCATAGCTTAAGGCAAGTACTTCTCTTTTTTTCCGTTCGTGAAATCCTGACTGCCCAGTTTCCCCTGAAAACAGATTCAGTTCCTTTGGTGCAGCAGAGGAGGTCGTCTCAAGGCCATCCCATACAATTAAGGCATTCTTTTTTCAAACTATTTTCAGAAGTCAAAAATTTTCTGCACGGCCGGCTAGGAGCAGATGTCGCAATTCAAGTAAAGTTTGGTGTTCTTGAAGTTACTTAAGTTTTTGAGCAAGATATCATGGCTGAGGCAAAACTTTTTTCCAATAGGGCAAAATCACACTGAAAGCACTGGAAGTACAATAATTAGATGCTACTAACATGAAAAACAAACTTGACAAAAAACAAGCAACTTGACAAAAAAAGATATCCAATTAACAACAGGGTTTTTCGAAGCTTTGAGCCAGATAATTCTGATCAACTCGTTCAAATGCAAAAAAAAAGTTTTATTTGAAGAATTGATTCATAAACAGCCATAAATTTGTACTAGCAAAATTATGGGGTAGCGATAGTTTTTCTAAGGGATAGAAACTCTTGGGGGTTTCTTTCAGCGTTCCAATTTTTAGTTCAACACTGAAAAAACTTTAAAACTTAGACTGGTTCGGAATGAGCCTAAAATTTCAAATGAGGAGCTTGCTTTTTTTAAACAGATCGAGCCGTCTTTTTGGTTCATTCAAACCGTAGTCATTGGAAATAGAACAATTTTTATTTTTTGGGTTATTGCTCAAATGACTAAATTACTTTTGAAACTCAGCTGTTAGAGTTCGGCCTTGTTGAAGTTAATTAGGTTTTCAGCAAGATTCCAAAAGTTTTTCTTGGTTGAAGCGAAACTTTTTTCGATGAAGCCAAAATCAGACGTAAGCAGGCGTAAATACTAAGAGCACTATTATTAAGGTCATTTAGGAGCTTCTATCATGAAAAACAAAAAGCAAAAAACTTGACAACAATGCATATTCATTCAACAACAAGATTTATTGAATCTTTAAGCCAGATATTTCTATTCAACTCGTTCAAAGTGCAAGGGGAAAAAACTGATTCTTAAACAGACGTAAATGCTTTATATTAAAACTAAAGAATAGCGATGTTTTTTTAAGGCGTACCGACTCTTGGGGGACTATTTCAGTATTTCAATTACTACTTCAGCCCAAAAACTAAAATTCAAAAAAATTAGACCAGTTCTGATTGGGCCACAAACTTGAATATTTTCAAATAGGGAAATTGCTGTTTTTTAACAAAAAATCAAGCCGGCTACTTGGTCAATTCAAACTGTAATTATAAATAATAGAACTCTTTTTTAAAAAACTTTTGAGTGCTGAAGCAGGTCTCCTAAATGCTTCTGCCCTCTTAAAAGTTTCCATTACTCCTTGAAAATTATAAAAAGAGTTTCCGGCTGTATAAAAATCAGTTTTTATAAAAGATAGCTGCTTGGAGGATAGCTGCTTGAAGTG